TCTTTTTTTTTAAAAGTTAATTAAAAAAAATTAAAATCATAAGTGGACAAAGAGACTTTCGATGATTGAAGTAGCAAAGCACCAAAAATAATAATAAATATTTATATTGCATGATTATTGTATGATGTGATGAGTGTGTCTAGCATGATTCTTGTATGATGAGATGGGTGTGTCTAACATGATTCTTACATGATGAGATCAATGTGTCTGACATGATTATTATATGATGAGATGAATATGTCTCACATGATTATTGTATGATGAGATGAGTGTGTTTGATATGATTATTGTATGATGAGATGCATGTGTCTGGCATGATTATTGTATGATGAGATGAGTGTGTCTGACATGATTATTGTATGATGAAATGAGTGTGTCTAGCATGATTATTGTATGATGAGATGGGTGTGATTGGGATGATTATTGTATGATGAGATGAGTGTGTCTAACATGATTATTGTATGATGAGATGGTTGTGTATAGTATGATTAATGTATGTTGTGAAGATTAAGTCTAGTATAATTATTACATGATAATATGATTATTCTTATGTGTAGAAACACATTTATGTATGTTTTATGAATGATTTATTACATGTTAGATCATTCTATGTGTTTGTGTTTTTGTTTGTATTTGTACGATGATCATATAACTTGTGTTGTTATACGGGAGCTCAGATAGAAATGCATATGATTCTGGAGTCCATGATTGATGAGAGAGGGGATTGACGATGTGAGTTTTATTTAAATTTTATTTAATGAAAATTTATAATGATGTTTTTTATAAATTTATGTGAGTAATGTATAAATGGAAATCGACCATTTTCTTAATAAATAAAATGAAAACTTTTTGTCTGACACTACGAGAAGGGATGTTACATTCACCATCTTTTGATTGTGTTTTTAGCCACTATTTATTTTTGAACTCATTTTAATGCTTATATAAACTATTCTACCAAAAAAGCAACCAAAATGACACTTTATAAAAGACAAAAAAATTGTTGGTTCTCAAGGTATTCATCAAAGGTTTGCATTAAGTAATGTGAGAAAGGGAAAAATATAGGAAACTAATATAAAAATGAAAAGTTGATTTAAGAGTTGTCATCAAAACTCAACCAGTTTTTTTTGGTGTATGAGAAACTTAGATTGTTATTATCATGAGTTGGTATGCAATTTTTATAAAAAAAATTGTTTGAGAAGGTTTGCACGAAAAGCTTTGCCGTTTTTTCCAAAAAAATTGCATGTTGAGTAATAATATTGTGTTGAGCATTCATAGATATAAGCCTTGAGATGACGAACTAGTTTAAATTTAGTGTGTACTTTGACTTAAATGTTATACTCTTGTTCGTGGATGTGCTTTTGCTAGAAGAGATGATTTCCCTTGTTTCATGATCAGAGTCTAATTCTAAAGAAGGAAGGAAGTGGAGTAATTTGGCATAAGTATAATCAACTTTGTGTGTTGCACCTTTGAAGAGAGGTTATCGTTGATTTTTTTTTGTAATGATATTCTTAATGTATGTGTGGTAGGGTTTGATTTGGTAAAGTCAATATATGGATATATTCTACTTTGACTATCGATGATTATCCAACAACAATGACATGAAAGTGATTGGAAGTAAGTATGAGGTAAAAGATAATTATGACTAATAACAAAGAAAGATTGTTGTCGCCAATAAATTTATACAAGTCATCGTGGCAAGAGTGGTTCAAAAAATATCTATTGACAATATGTCAAATGTTTGTTCCAAAACATGAATAAAGAAAAATGATGATGTTAAAACTTTATTTTAAAGTTTATATATATATATATATATATATATATATATATATATATATGCGTGTGAAATAGTGTCAGTGGTGATTAATGTTATTATGATGTGTGGTTGTGAAGTGATGAATATAGAATAACTTTGAAGGGAGAAAACATTTCACTCTAGTATTAGGTGTATTGAGTGGACTTAGTGGAGGTTATTCATACTATGCTAGGTATTCTTACTCACATAGAGGAAGATCGCTAGTTAGTGAGAGTTGATAGAGGTTTTTATGGCAAGAATAAGTTTAGAGGGAATCCTTTCTCGCTGACATGGGTAAACTAACCTTGTCATGTGAGAAGGTTGGTAGAGTCATGGCTTGTAAGCCAAAATGCTATCGGAATCCTTATGACAGGTGCAAAATCTATGAGGTCTAATTCAATACACAAAATACTCTAAAAGTAGTTATTATGGTTTGCTTATATGATATGTATGATTGAATGAGTGTGTTGTACATGGTTTGCTTGAGCTTAATCTTTTAATTTAATTATACATCTTTTCTTTTTAAATATACTAGTTTTCCTTTGTCTTGTGTGTCTGTTGTGGTTTATCCACCTACGATGATTGCATGTTATACGAGGATAATGTACTAGAAAAGTTGAGAAGCTATGAGACTGCCTAATGGTCGGATAGAGTATAGATGATGTATAAGTATATAGTTTTGTATTTTATAGATCTTACCTTGTTGAAAAACTTTATATATCACGAAAGGTGTATTATTGAGATTCATGATGGATTGTAAATACATATTATATGTTTATATGACAATTTATTGCTTGATACCTGATTTGTAATTGTTTCAAGTTCACAGTATAAATTTACTAAATTGAAATTTTACGATGCGTGTGGAAAAATGTATTACAAACACAAGTGTGAATTTTAAGTTATGCATTAAATATAAATGAAAAAAATCGAATATTATATATGGAAGAAAACTCAAACTCATTAATTTGAAATTTTGATTTTGAAACGATGTCAATTCTTAATAAGTTTGGTTCATGACTCACTGATGTGAACCAACCTCTTGTACCTTTCTTTATGGTTTACTTCATGTTTTCAATCATTTGGCAAGAGTTTACAATGTTCAATATTTCAAATATAAGTGAAATGTCTATTCTTTTCTTCCCTTTCCTTTGACCAAGAATAAAATACATATTTTATCTACATGTCATAGTTTTAAGTAATTGATGGAGAGACACACTAACGAATGCTTAGAAACTTTCTTAACACACAAATCCACACTCAGTTCTTAGATAAGTCTATATGTTAATCACTAGGTCATGCTTCCCTTGTTTTAAATATATGATGATAAACTAACTACATTTTAAATATATGATCATAAACTAACTACATTTTAAATATATGATGCTTTCCTTATGGTGTTTGTTTTCATATCAACATACTACACTGAGCAAATCAACAACAAACTTTAATCTACTAAATGGAACAAATACATAAAGTGTAGAGGATGAAAGCAAGTGTTTATCAACTTTGACCAAAATATGTTTATATATCTCAATTAAAGAAAAAAAAAAGGGAATCTAGGTTACACTTAAGGGTAGTTTGAGATTCAAGTTTGAATCTAATCCTTTCAAACTCTTAAAACTTGTAGAAAGAACTATTCTCACTGATAATTCATTCATACGTTCTGTTAATGCTATCAAAATGGGTTATCCGGCTCAACCAACCACGAGTTGACTATTCAGTGAGCCAACTCAATCTGACTCACTCGTTAATGAGCCAAAAAAATTCAGACCCGACCCGACCCACAACGGATTGACGGGTTAAACAAATTGGCTCACTGACTCACTTAATTACAAGTTTTTTTATTCAATTTAAAACATAATAGCAATTTTTTTCTAATTAGAATCTAAACAAAAGGGGAAGGATTTTAAATTAGATTTATGATCAATCAAAAATGAAATTTTATTCATATAAATATATCACTAAATCTCTTCAACAAAATTTTTAATGACTTCTTAGGGATTTGTTAATGTATAAAAATTGAGTTACTAAGTATAAATTTGTGGATTTTTCATGTTGCCTAATTATTCATACAAAAATAATTTCACGCGTCTGTTTCAATATTTTATAATATGACTAATTCAACAAAAAATACTTATTAGAAAAATTAGGTGGATTGGTGAGTCAACGGGTTCAACTTGGGTAAGTCGGGTTCTTAGTGAGTCAGGTTCTTAGTGAATCCGGTTCAAAATTGACCCTACCAAAATTTCAAATTTTCTTTCAACCCAGCCCACTTAAACCTAAAATAGGACGAATTCCAACCCATTTTAAAAACACTAGTTTCTGCCTACTATAAAAAAAGAAACTTGCATACTGCATACTATAAAAACTTGTATACTGCATACTATCAAAAAACTTGCATACTGGATATTCAGCTTTTGAATTTAACTTGAATATTTTGTTCTCACTTAATTCCTTTTAAATTTTATGAATGATCTGTAACATTCTGGGTTAATTTTAAGCATTAAATAATGAAATTCTGTTACCATCTATTTGTCCTTATAAATTCTTTTTATTGCCAACCTGATATATGAACTATTACCACTTATGTTAATAAATCAGAAAAGACTATACATAAATGACTTGGCCAATCTCTTATTTAATACTCCACATTTTTTATAGTGCACATGAATATGTTTTGGACAATACTACTTTTCAGTGACCTTCATTTTTACCTCCTCATGTGTTCTTATACCAATTTTACTTCTACACTTATATTTGTCATATTATCTTATACTTAGTATTTAATACCATTAATATTAATGTGTGTACTATTCATAATAAGAAATCGTTGTTGTCCCTGGATCTTTATGCTTGAATCCCCACTTCGTTGGTGCAGATGACACTAGTATCAAAGTTTTAGTTTGTTTTTGAGGGCTTCCATTATTCTCCTAGATTGACTGCACACTCAAGAGCCATATATGAAGAGAAAGTTACAGAAAGTAAACCTATCAAAGCACTTTACCATTTGTATAGTTTATTCACTTTCTAAAGAACTTGTTATTGTGACATGTAAGAACTTATTGATACAAAGTACAACAGAGTATTACAGATATCTTTCGTACAATTCTAACCAGCTAATTGGCACCAATCAGCACCACCCAAATATCACATTGTAACTTGCTTTTGGACAAAAAAAAAGACAGAGTAAAGAATTACAAAAACATAAACGAAATGGAAAGTAACATTGATTCACAAATCAGGACTTGTTAGTAAGTCCAAGGCCAGAATCAAGGAGACATCAGAAGAACTCATCTTCCGCGAGGATTTACCAATTGTGAGAACACTGCACTTGTGGCAGCATCTTCTGCATCATCATCTGTGAAAGAGTTGCCCCCATCAATCATATTAACACTGTTGTCAAAAGGCTCAAGACGAGTCAACTGAATTCCAGTGATGTGGTTTGTGCTGTTATCTTCAGGCTCCATGAGTGCTGATGAGGTCTCTTGAAGCTGCAAAGCATATTCAAGATTCCACAAAACATCACCCATAGAAGGCCTATCCACTCCATACTCGGCCAAGCACTTCTCAGCTGTTTCCCCAAACTTCTTCAGAGAAGCAGGATTTACTTTCCCCACTAGATTCTGATCCATGATCTGATCAAGCATTCCTTTCTTCTGCCATGTCATTGCCCACTCAGCTATGTTAACCTGTTCCCTAGGAAGGACAGGGTTCAAGGCTGGTCTTGTGCACAACACTTCCATCAAAACTACTCCAAACGAATACACATCTGATTTCTCTGTTAGCTGTTGCCTTCTGAAGTATTCAGGATCAAGATAACCGAAACTACCTTTGACAGCAGTGCTCACATGAGTCTGATCAAGAGCAGGACCAGTTTTGGAGAGGCCAAAGTCAGCAACCTTGGCAACAAAGTTATCATCTAAGAGGATGTTAGTTGTCTTTACATCGCGGTGAATTATGCTTAGAGATGCTCCCGTGTGGAGATAATGAAGACCTCTTGCTGCTCCAATGCAAATTTCGAGCCGTTGCTTCCATGACAGTGGTGGTAGGTCTGTTCCATATAAATGACTCCTGAGAGGTCCATTCGCCATGTATTCATATACAAGAACCATTTCGGATCTCTCATCACAATAGCCAATGAGGGACACAAGGTGGCGATGGCGAAGCTTGGATAACATCTCAATTTCTGTTCTGAATTCGGCAAGACCTTGTTCCGATCTGGGGTTCCCCCTTTTAACAGCGACACTGGTCCCATCTTCAAGTGTTCCTTTATAAACCCTTCCAAAGCCACCGACACCAAGAAGCAGCTTCTCATCAAACTTGTTGGTTGCATCGAGGATCTCTTGAACAGTGAAGATCCGTCCGAGATTTGACGAAGCTAAAGAAATGCAGCTTGCAGTTGCACTCTTCTGAGATGTTGTTGACATTTTTGTCATGGTCTGAGAGTTTCCATACAAGGGTAAAGGCAACCAAGAATGACCTTGTTCAGTAGACTTTGATTTGTATCTCACCATGCAGCAGTAACACAAACCAAGCAAAGCTATGGCAGCCACAACTCCAATAGAAGAACCTACTATTATCCCCGTCTTGCTTTTACTTGATGATGAACTGGGAAGGAGACTCTCAACTGAAGAAAGTCCATCCAAGCTCTTGAATGAATTACTGATCTTTATGACCTCCAATCCATTCATAGTGGCATTTGTGATATCTGCCATTGTATCAGGACCAACACTCACTGTCAAAATGTTGGAGTCAGCTGAGGCATTGGAAACAAAGTCCTTATAGTAAGGCACAGACAAATCATTAGTTATGGATGAGAGGTCAAGGCTTCCAAGAGCTATGTCAGTATTGATGAACAAATTGAATACTAGAGTGTTGAGAGACTTGCTAAAAATATCACAAAAGTGCACCCGAATGAAATAGGAGAAGTTTGGATCCACAGTAAAGACCCAAGTGATGTTGAAATTTGAATTGGCCACATTTGCATCCCCCATTGCTTCAGAAGTGGCATAGATCCAATTGGGTGCTGTCTCAGGTGTAACACCCGGATGATACTTAATGCTGGAAGGGTTAACAGACACATTAGTGACTGAACTATTCACATGGAGGTATTTCTGATCATTCTCCCAAGTCCTTCCCAGGGTGTCATTCCGGGGAGTGAGCAAGGGACCTCCCATGTTTAAGCGATAAACAGTCTCAAAAGCAAGTTCAGAAAGGCCATTGAATGGTGCGGTTGGGTTAAGGGCCAATGCCTGATCAACAAACAAGTCATTTGGCATTGATACAACTTCAATTGCATTGACGAAAGCTACTGCCGAACCATTTGAAGGAATGAAGGTGACAGTTAAGGTATCAGAGGTAACATTGATGGCATACTCCCTAAACATATATGAACCATTGTAGTTCCTAAAGGAGAAGTTGCACAAGAGGACAAAATCATCAGTGACCACTGTTATAACAGCTTCAGTCAAATTATGGGCTGAGTTGGTAAGAGGGGAAAAATATAGCCTCAGCCAGTGCCTACCTTCATCAACCTTAAACCTATAAGACGCTTTCTCAGTGAAAATCCTAGCTGATTGATATATTGGGAAAGGGACGCTAGAATTTGAACTAGCAACAACAGAATTAGAGGTTTTCAACTCCGGTGAAGAATGCTGTGAATCGGGGACGAAGGTGCGATCTTGGAAAGTGATACTTTGAGAGGAACCACAAGTAATTAGATAATTATCACTAGGAGTGAATGTAGCAGACGAACCATTCACCAAAAACAAATAAACAACAAAAACAAAGGAAACCCACTTTACAAGTTTCATCATCACCATTGTAGTTCCCCAAGAATGCACCAATCCATAAAACAATTGTAAGCAATACCCTTTAAACAACCTTTAAGCCTTTAACCTTAACTTTATCCCCCGAGCCACAGAAAAACCTGCAACAACCTCGGATCTATCAAACTCAGAAGACAGAACCGGACATTTCCGTTACAAGCAACAGACAAAATACCATGATTGTAATTGCAACATCACAATTGATGAGACATGAATCAACACAAGACAAACTTAGAATAAGGGTCTTAACAGGAAGCTATGCTGTGTACTTACCCTTTAAGCCGTGAATAAACTTGCTTCTACCAAAGTGATTAACTTGGCTCAGAGTCTGAAACAAAATGCGACCCAATTAAGATTACGTGAACCCCATCACCAAAATCCCATCAAGTTTAGCTTTTTAGTGTGGCCGCATTGCAAACACCTTTTCCAGGCTGTTGATTAGGCTGTCAATTACAGTGGGAAAAAGTGGACCCCAGAAAGAGAAAATAAGAATAAAAATCAAAAAGTGCTATCAAAGCTTCAAACTTGCAGGTTGAAACTCCCGTACAACCAGCTGTTACTCGAAGATTCTGTGGTGTGGTGTAGTTTTCAAAACTCAGAATCTTCGTAACCAAAGTAACAAAATGAAGAAAATAAACAAATAAATAAATAAACAACGGAAGGAAGTTTAGGAATTGAGGCTTACAACTACTAAAAAGGTTCTATAGTATACAATATGATATGAATCAAATGACAATATATTAATAATTGTGATTTGAAGTCTAAAGGAAGAAGAAAAACAAAAGAACATGGCTTGGAAGAAAATGGTTGTTGCGCTGGGTTCAACGATAAGTGGGACCCACTTTAACGCGGCTTCAAGATAGAGAAGGGTCGGAGGTTGATAAAACAACGTATCAGAAACTCTTAACACAGTTAACTTAGCTTTCTACCATGGCTAAAAGGTTTCTCTGGAGTAAATTATTATTCTACAATTTTTGTTTTTCACTATGCATTTCTTCTTATTTATTTTAATTTTAAAAATAAGAACATCTGTGTCAAAAAAGTTGTCTCTGTTGGAAATGTTTGTCTCGTTCACTATCTCACAGCATTCTCAACAAACCTTTAAATTGTGCAGTGACATCCCTCGGTGTAAGATTTATGTTTAATTAATTAGGGATTATTTAGTTTGAATTTGATTTTTATATACTGTTCATGTGAAGATTTTTATATTGTTAAATTTAAAGTAATTATAGAAATTAACTATTTTACTATATATAGTAAATCCCAATTAAGCAATGATATAAAAGAAACTTGTTAAACTCTGTAATATACTCTATTAAATAGTTTAACTCAATTCTTGTCATATGTGTAAGAGTGATTCTCCCTGCATCTCATTTATTTCATCTTGCAGTTTTCATTTTACATATTTATCCTTTATTTAAGAAAGTCAAATAAAAATTAACGATTAATTAATGATTTTTTAACAACCAACAATTCTAAATTTTAATCATAAATCTCCTCTGATGGTATAAAGTCTACCCTACATGCACTCCCTTTCCTTTTTTCACTTTCATCACATTTGATTGTTAAATTATTTTTTGAGTTGAGAGTTATAAGGTTATAGAATGGTGATTGTGATTCGCGTGTTGGTGGTATGGATATTAGATGAGGAAGAAAGTGGTCATAAAGCTCGTCGAAGTCAGTTAATATTTCAAGTAAACAACTTTCAAATGCGGTTGTCCGAAAGTTGGTTGTATATAGTCGAAGTTCAAATTTCGAGTGCTCCTAACCGCACTTAAAAATGCAGATTAGGAGAACCGCACGTGCGGTTACACTGTGCAACATTTTAAACCCTGACATGCTTGTTTATTTAACTTTAGGACCTATTTGTGGCCACTTTTAAAATTATGAATGTAGGAGGCAAATAAGATGTACCAATGAAAACTACCAATATTAGTTCTGCTGCATGATGGATGCAGTATTGCAGTACCTATTTGAGTAATCATAAATCAGTATTAGGCAAGAAGCAATGTATTTATTTGATTTTCAACAGTAGATATATAGACCAAAATTGGCTATAAGGGTACAGAGATAGGAAAAACTGAAGCTTTACAAGAATGTGTTATTTTATGGCATTCAAAATATTGCCAATACATTGTATTCAATAAACATAATGCACAAAAGTATTATATAATTTTGTATTTTGAAAATAGTGGTTAAAGGAAAAGGAGAAGCATACAATCACTTCTCCAGACACATCAGGCTGATATCCTGAGACAAGAGCACTCGGAAGCTCCACCACAACATTTAGTTTAGAATATTTTTTCTTTTTTGGAATATTTTCTGTTATTTAGTTTAAAATAATAAGTAAGAAAGAAAGAGGTGTTTAGATATGAAGTACAACAAAGAGGAGGAAAGGAGGAGAAAGGGGTGCATGGTTTTCAAATCTGATATCTGACAGAAGAGGAAGATTTGTTCTTTGATTTTTATTATTCAATGTTCAATTTTTTTTTTAAACCAAAGGACTAGAGTAGGAAATATAGAAAAAAGAGGGAGGTGCAGGCCGAGGTTAGTGAGGTGTAGAGAGTGGCGTGTAAATCTTTTATACATGAATACAGGAATATATTCATGTAGTAGGTTTCGATACAATATTTTTTATTAGGTTTTTGAAGAATTTGATTACATCTTTTTAATGTAAAATATGATTGTAAATGGGACACCCTCGTTAGGAGTGTAATAATGCTTCAAGTTATATTTAAATTCAGATAAAATGGATTATAATTTTTTTAATCTTCTTAATTCTTTCTTTTACTTTTAATTCTGTATATTATTTTGTTTTCATTGGTGTAATTGTGTTTTCTAACTATACATTTATTTTATTAAAAATATTAAAATTTTAACAAAGTATACGAGTTTTAAATATCAATTCATTTTTTCTTTAACAGTGGGAAACGAAAACCTGTTTTTGCTTGCATTGACGGTGACTTTTGGCAACATTTTTTCGTCCAAATTTCCGTTTTATCTGAATCTTGACCTTTATAGTTTTTCAAGTCAACTGTCAGATTAGGTAAGAATTTTTTTTCCCTATAATGAAGTTTAATTAAAAAGACTTATACCTTCTCATATTTCATTTTCAAAAGTCAATTTCTCAAAGTTGTATAACTGTTTTTGGACCGAAGGACGGGTTAGAATTATGAATTTTGACTAATTTTTTCTTTTTTATTTAACTTTTTAAGAGGAGAATGAATTTTTTATAGAAGAATAAAAAATTATAATAAACAAAAAAATTAAATTAATTAATTAAAAATATTGAGACTAGCTTTAATTTAATTAGGGAGAAAAAAANCCCTAAACATATATGAACCATTGTAGTTCCTAAAGGAGAAGTTGCACAAGAGGACAAAATCATCAGTGACCACTGTTATAACAGCTTCAGTCAAATTATGGGCTGAGTTGGTAAGAGGGGAAAAATATAGCCTCAGCCAGTGCCTACCTTCATCAACCTTAAACCTATAAGACGCTTTCTCAGTGAAAATCCTAGCTGATTGATATATTGGGAAAGGGACGCTAGAATTTGAACTAGCAACAACAGAATTAGAGGTTTTCAACTCCGGTGAAGAATGCTGTGAATCGGGGACGAAGGTGCGATCTTGGAAAGTGATACTTTGAGAGGAACCACAAGTAATTAGATAATTATCACTAGGAGTGAATGTAGCAGACGAACCATTCACCAAAAACAAATAAACAACAAAAACAAAGGAAACCCACTTTACAAGTTTCATCATCACCATTGTAGTTCCCCAAGAATGCACCAATCCATAAAAAAATTGTAAGCAATACCCTTTAAACAACCTTTAAGCCTTTAACCTTAACTTTATCCCCCGAGCCACAGAAAAACCTGCAACAACCTCGGATCTATCAAACTCAGAAGACAGAACCGGACATTTCCGTTACAAGCAACAGACAAAATACCATGATTGTAATTGCAACATCACAATTGATGAGACATGAATCAACACAAGACAAACTTAGAATAAGGGTCTTAACAGGAAGCTATGCTGTGTACTTACCCTTTAAGCCGTGAATAAACTTGCTTCTACCAAAGTGATTAACTTGGCTCAGAGTCTGAAACAAAATGCGACCCAATTAAGATTACGTGAACCCCATCACCAAAATCCCATCAAGTTTAGCTTTTTAGTGTGGCCGCATTGCAAACACCTTTTCCAGGCTGTTGATTAGGCTGTCAATTACAGTGGGAAAAAGTGGACCCCAGAAAGAGAAAATAAGAATAAAAATCAAAAAGTGCTATCAAAGCTTCAAACTTGCAGGTTGAAACTCCCGTACAACCAGCTGTTACTCGAAGATTCTGTGGTGTGGTGTAGTTTTCAAAACTCAGAATCTTCGTAACCAAAGTAACAAAATGAAGAAAATAAACAAATAAATAAATAAACAACGGAAGGAAGTTTAGGAATTGAGGCTTACAACTACTAAAAAGGTTCTATAGTATACAATATGATATGAATCAAATGACAATATATTAATAATTGTGATTTGAAGTCTAAAGGAAGAAGAAAAACAAAAGAACATGGCTTGGAAGAAAATGGTTGTTGCGCTGGGTTCAACGATAAGTGGGACCCACTTTAACGCGGCTTCAAGATAGAGAAGGGTCGGAGGTTGATAAAACAACGTATCAGAAACTCTTAACACAGTTAACTTAGCTTTCTACCATGGCTAAAAGGTTTCTCTGGAGTAAATTATTATTCTACAATTTTTGTTTTTCACTATGCATTTCTTCTTATTTATTTTAATTTTAAAAATAAGAACATCTGTGTCAAAAAAGTTGTCTCTGTTGGAAATGTTTGTCTCGTTCACTATCTCACAGCATTCTCAACAAACCTTTAAATTGTGCAGTGACATCCCTCGGTGTAAGATTTATGTTTAATTAATTAGGGATTATTTAGTTTGAATTTGATTTTTATATACTGTTCATGTGAAGATTTTTATATTGTTAAATTTAAAGTAATTATAGAAATTAACTATTTTACTATATATAGTAAATCCCAATTAAGCAATGATATAAAAGAAACTTGTTAAACTCTGTAATATACTCTATTAAATAGTTTAACTCAATTCTTGTCATATGTGTAAGAGTGATTCTCCCTGCATCTCATTTATTTCATCTTGCAGTTTTCATTTTACATATTTATCCTTTATTTAAGAAAGTCAAATAAAAATTAACGATTAATTAATGATTTTTTAACAACCAACAATTCTAAATTTTAATCATAAATCTCCTCTGATGGTATAAAGTCTACCCTACATGCACTCCCTTTCCTTTTTTCACTTTCATCACATTTGATTGTTAAATTATTTTTTGAGTTGAGAGTTATAAGGTTATAGAATGGTGATTGTGATTCGCGTGTTGGTGGTATGGATATTAGATGAGGAAGAAAGTGGTCATAAAGCTCGTCGAAGTCAGTTAATATTTCAAGTAAACAACTTTCAAA